TCTTAAGTTCTGAACTTACATTTCTAGTTTCTTGCTGATCCTCTATGTAAAAATATTCTTTAGCATTTATTTATTTATTTTTTGTTTATTTTATTGGTACCAGGGATCAAACTCAGCACCATGTGCTTGCCAGGTAGGTACTTATGCCACTGAGCTGTCCCCTGTGCCCCTCTTTAGCACTTTATTTTTTCCTTTTAATCTTTTATTCATTTACTTATTTGATACAGGGTCTCACTACAGCTCAGACTTCTAGCGATCCTCCTGTCTTACATTCCCCAGAGCTGGGATTATAGGCATGTGCTACCATACCCGGTTTCGGTGGCTGGCACAGCACAAGGTGGCATGACATGCGGTACTGGGTTCAAACCCCGGTCCTTGTGCTTGCCAGGCAGGCGCTTAGACTGCTGAGCTATCTCCCTAGCCAATCTTTAGTTTTTTGTTTTTGTATTTTTTAGAATTTTAAACTAATGAATAAAACAGATTTTTATTGAGCTAGTGATATAGATCAGCAGCACAAGTATCTGTCTGGCAAGCACATGATCCTTTGATTCCCGGTACCAAAAATAAATAAATGAAAATTTATCTTTATTTATGAAGTCCTAATTCCTTTATATTATAAAAAGTTAAACACTATCATTTTCTTTAAGTCCTGTCATGTCTGTTTCTTCAGCATCTCTTGTTTTTTTTCCTTTTCTCAACCTGCACACTGCTGCCAGATTAATATTTATGAAGGACAGTTTTCATTATGTTAGTCTCCTGGAAAACCTCTATATCTATCTAGTTCTCTCTTTTTTATGGTACCAAGAATCAAACTCCGGACCTTGCACCTGCTAGGCAGGTACTTTGTGGCTGAGCTATTTCCCTGACATACATCTTTTTCTTAAAAATAAAGTCCAGGGGCCAGGGAGATGGCTCAGGAGAATAAGCGCTTCCCTGGCAAGCTCAAGGGTCTGAGTTCAATCCCCTGTTCCACCAAAAAAAAAAATTAAAAAATAAAGTCCAAATCCCTCATCTTGACGGTTATGATTCTCTCCAGTCATATTCACGTCTTTTTTTTCTGACCTTTTTTTTCTGCTACTCCCTTATACACTCTATATTTTAGCCAAATTTTGTCATTTGTTTGTAGTTCTGGCATTTCATGTTTGTCATTGTTTTGTGGATCTTCCAGAAGAATGGAGATCTGTACCTTGCACATGCAAGCTAGGAGGATGTTGCTGACTTCATCACCAGGCCTCCTAATCTTGCTGTTTCCAACAAGGAAAGTAGTCTTTATCAGTTGGCTTTCTGTGACTATTTTGTTAAAATATTTCATATAATTCTGTTACATTGACTTACAGTTATTTTTTCCACTCTGTCTTCCTAACTAAAATTATACTATGAGCTCCACAGAGACAGGCTCCACAAAATACTAGCTCTTACTGTTTTTCATATCTTTGAAAGTCCTCACTAATATGTCATGCTTAAAATAAACACTTCTATATATTCTTTCTTTAATTTTTTTTCTCATTAACTTTATTGAAAATCAATAACTATATAGCATATTAAAATTGTAGACAGAGGCCAGGGAGATGGCTCAGTAGAATAAGTGCTTCCCTGACAAGCGCAAGGGCCTGAGTTCAATCCCCAGTTTCCAAAAAAAAAAAAAAAAAAAAAAATTGTAGACGAATATTGAAATGTGAACAATATAAGATGTAGACGGTGAATTTTAGAGAAATATTTCTGAGATGAATACATAGCATGAGATTAATAATAGATTGCACATTATAAATTATTTATACACTTAAATGAATATAACAGTAAAAATTGTCCAAGATAAAAATGAAGAATTTACAGATCAGTAATATAATAGTACATTCTGTGCCAAAATCAAGAAATTTATATTCATATAATTAGAATTCTCAAAGTAGAAAGGGGTAGGCAATAAATACTTAAAGATTTAAAATTCCTGAATTTAGTTGAAATTATAGCACCACATTTCCAAGAAAAATGAACCTTTTGCACAGGAAATTTGAATAAAATCATACCAAAATACACAAAATGAAATTGTCCAAAATTTATTGTAAAGAAACAAATCATTAAAGAATACACATTAAAAAAAATTAGGGCCCGGGAGATGGCTCCGTGGAATAAGTGCTTCCCTGGCAAGTGCAAGGGTCTGAATTCAATCCCCCGTTCTGCCAAAAAAAAAAAAAAAATTAGCTATGGAAGAACAAACTTAAATAGCATCCTAGTTCACATTAGAAAGAAAAAAAAAAGACCAAATGTGTAAGAAACTAGACTAATTAATTCAAAGAACTGAAAGAAAAAAAAGATCTGTCCTCATTGAACTTCATGCTTAACAAACATACCTTTTAAAACTAAAAGTAAAATATTTTCCAGTTATACAAACTGAAAATATTCTAATACCTCCAGATGTAGCATATAGGAAATAACAAAGAACATAGTCTAGAAGGCAAGAGAAGTTGCCGTATGGTCCTGGATAAAGAATAAAGAGCTCTCAAAATGATGATATGCAGGACTATGTAAAATATGTTAGATGAACCCATTTAAAAGGTCATTGAAGATTTCTTCAAGACAGTATCAATCTTATGTCAGGTTATATACATGTTTTTTCATGTGTGTGTATGTAAAAGACAAGAAGTAATATAAAGTCAATGGAAATAAACTTTAAAGTTTCTAATACTAGAAGAAAATATCATACTATGTCTAAAAAGTTAAGATTAAACAATGTTCAGAAAATTAAATATTAAAAATTAAATATTTCAAAACAAATGAACTAAGAAAATGTTTTCATGATAGTAAAGAATTACTAAGAATAAGACATAAGATAAGTAATGGAATGACAAATATATGACCAGCACTTCTAACAGTCTGGGGATAGGATATCACACAAAGTTCTAGTATGTCAAGGACATGGACAGTGTTCATGATGCTTACTGGTAGCCAGGTGTCACTTGTGGGACTGAGCTACTGCTATTTCCTTGATATCCACCCTGTAGACCTGGATAGA